TTACCAAACATGATATCCTTCTCCAGCGACTGGTCCCTCCTGACAATAGGTCTGAAGTATAAAAGAAAGTTTACAGGATACTCATCTGAAATTTAAGGAGCTCTGGTAGTGTAGTGGTTACAAATCGGGCTGTGAACCACAAGGTTAGCAGTTGGAAACTACCAGCTCTTACCGCAGGAGAAAGATGAGGCTTTCTGCTACCATAAAGATTTACAGCCTCAGAAACCCTGTACAGGGTCGCTATGTTGGAACCGACTCCATAGCATACAACCACCACCACCTGAAATTTAAGGATATAGAAAGGTTGGAAGTAAACAGTTGGAGAAAAAAAAAGATACACCAGACAAATGTTAACAACAAAAATATTTACCTTAGGCAAAGTAAATTTTAAAACAAAAAGCATTAGGGACAGAGGTCATCTGTATATATACATGTTGTTGCTGTTGTTAATTGCTGTAAAGTCAGTTCCGACTTATAGTGACCCTGTATAGGGTTTCTGAGGAGCAGCTGGTGAGCTTGAACCACCAACCTTGTGATTAGCAGTCCAGTGCTGATCCTACAGTGCCACACCAGGATATATTAGGAAAATATAGTAATTCTAAGCACCCAATTTGTATGCACCTAATAACATAACGTCAAAGTGTGTGAAGCAAAAAGATAAATAAAATTAAAAATAGAAAAATGCACAGTCATAGTGGGAGATTTCATCATCGCTTCTCCATGTACCCATACTTAACAACAACAACAACATATGCATGTGAAAGTTGGACAATGAATAAGAAAGAATGTAGAACTGCTGCATTTGGATTATAATGTTGGAGAAGAATACTGAAAGTACTGGGGACTGCCAGAAGAACAATCAAAACTGTGTTGGAAGAGGTATAGCCAGAATCTTCCTTAGAAGTCAGCATGGTGAGACTTCATCTCTCACACTTTGGCCATGTTATCAGGCGGGAGGAATCCTTGGAAAGGGACATCATGGTAAAGTGGAGGGTCAGTGAAAAAGAGGAAGACCCCCCAGTGAGATGGTTTGGCACAGTGGCAGCAGTAATGGGCTCAAATATAACAACAATTGTGCACATGGCACAAGACCAGGCAGTGTCTTGTTCTGTTGTACATAGGGATGCTGTAAGTTGGGACCAACTTTATGGCGCCTAACAACAACAAAGACCCAGGTAACATTTCTGGACAATGCACTTTGGGAGCATGTCTACCACTCATCTGTTAATGGAGTGTTGCTATGGTACTAAACAGGTACAATGGAACTTCCAGACTAGGACAGACTAGGAAGAAATGCCTGTTGACCTGCTTCCAAAAATTAACCAATGAAAAACCCACAAATCACAACAGTCCAATCTGCAACTGATCAGGGGATGGTATGTTGCTGTTGTCAAGTGCTGGTGAGTCGGTTGCGACTCATAGCGACCCTGTATAGGGTTTCCAAGGAGCAGCTGGTGCGCTTGAACCACCGACCTTGCAGTTCAAATGACTTGCAGTCTGATGCATTAGCCCACAGTGCCACACCAGGACTCCATTAGATTACTAACATTAAATTAGTGGACTGGAAAAGAAATACATAATAATAAAATACTATTATAAATAGGCGTCCTGGTGTGGCACTGTAGGATAAGTACTGGACTGCTAACGAAAAGGTCAATGGTTCAAACCCATCAGTCGCTCCTTGGAAACCCTATACAAGGTCACTATGAGTTGGATCTGACAGGACAGCACTTAACAACATTACAAATATTGTGGTGCAAAGGGACAGTGTGAGGGAATGTTTGGGGAGGATGAAACTGTTCTGCATCTTGATCATGATGGTGGTCACACAAGTCTATGCATTTGTCAAAACTCATAGGATTGTAGGACAAGAAGAGTAAATTGCACTGTATGTACATTAAAAGGAAGTAAGTAAGAAATCATGTAGTAAGGGGGATTAAGATCTAGTTTTCTCTAGGTCACTGACATTGTCGCTGCTGCATTGGACCCCTCTCAGGGTTTTAATTCGGTTCAGTGTCAGTGCCCACTTCCCACTCCTTTTGTGAAGGACAGAATAAATATTTGTGCAGCAGAGTCAAAGATCATTGGACTGAGGGCCAGAACCCACTTAGGTACCCACTGAGAGGGATGGGTGTAGCCTGGTGAACTTCTCTGGGAACCTGATGTAAGATGAGGGGGTTGGCTCAGGAAAGGCATTTTTACCTCTGATGGCCTGTGGTTCTATTGTAAAAACCCACAGCACAATCCAATTAGCTCTGTTGTCTGCATTTTGTTGTTGACAATAATCATAATAAACAATTACCACAATAACAACTGGCTCTTCCAGACATGAGACTCTAATGATTTGGAAAGCAACTTCAAAGTGCAGGGTAATACTTGGATTTGTGGTTTAAGGCCTTAAAGTGTCTTCTAAAAATCATATTAAGTAATGGTTGATAATAAACCTGATCCATCTAGGTTTGCAATGGAAGAGGGGCTTTTACAACGTCTGTTCACTTCAACTCCTCACTCCCACCTCATCCACCTAGGGAGGAGTTATAATCTCCATTTAGTGGACAGAGAGATTGAGGGTGTTGTCACCCAAAGCTATGATTGGTGTTGTTGTTATGTGCCGTCCAGGTCCAGTCAGTTCCGACCCATAGCGACCCTATATAGGGTTTCCTAGGAGCAGCTGGTGAGCTTGAACTGCCAACCTTGTAGTTAGTTCATTAACCCACTGCGCCACACCAGGACTCCATGATTGGTATTGGGATTTCCCAAATACTTTACTCTTCTAAAACCCATCATGATTTGATTCTGTTTGAGTGTTGAGTGTATTCTATTGTCTTCTAATCCTATGAAAATTAATGGAAAAGTGTTAATTGGGAATCAATTCATGCTTAACATTAATCTGGGTATTTGATGAACCGCAACTTTATGTTGCCCCTCATGCCACATTAACTCAGTTTACTGTAATAATTTAAAACAATACGGATAATTGTATCCTTATTGTTTTAAGTACCCCATAAATTGAATCCAGAATTTAGCCAGCCTGGAATCCACTGGAGATGTGCGCGAGGTCATTCAGGCAAAGACAAACGTCATCTTTTTGATGTTTTCAGTGCCGGAAGGAAGGAATTATACCAGTACTTATTAAGTACCTACTGTGTGCTAGGTCTGTGCTGCACCACAGTGCCCTCAGGTGGGGTACGTAGTCGCCAGTCTATTTGAAGCTCTCTCAAAAACCTTATACAGGGTCGCTATGGGTCGGTAACGAAACGACTCGGTGGCATTAACAACTGCCCTACTACTTCTCTTGGTCGTGGGGGTCTTGTGCTAGTTCAGTCTCATGCTTTTGACTATCTCCGTACAGAAAGTCTGGATAACTTTATATATAAAACTTTAATATATATATATATAATGTTGTTGTTGTTAAGTGCCGTTGAGTCGGTTCCGACCCATAGCGACCCTGTACAGGGTTTCCGAGGGTGTAAATCTTTACGGGAGTAGAAAGCCTGATCTTTCTCCCGCAGAGCATATATATATATAAACGGTTTAGAGAGGGGTTTCTTGAAATAACACGTTTCCTAGCTATTCCAGAGACGTTCCACAACTCTTTCTCCCCATGTACAAAAGTTTCCTTTGAACCCCATTCATTTGACCTTGACATCAATAAACCTGTTTCATTATATATTTTAAACGTCATATGATTAACGCGGAGACTTTTTCTTCGGCACTTTCTTGCTATTGCAATCGCGTCAGTTTCTCAAAGTTCCAAAATAACCTCTCCCGGGCACGGATTCGTACCTCAGCCAGGGAAGGGCGGGGAACGGCGGCAGACGTGCCGGTGTGGAGGGGAGCCAGAGAGAACTTCCAGAGCGACAGGAAAATAAAAACTTGTGGCTGGGGGGTTGTGCGGAAGGGTCTCCGCAATCCTGAACCCCTCCAATTCCGGGGGGTTTCGGGGGTCGCCCGAGGAGCGCTAGGGTTTGGGATTTGCTCCCGACGTCCTTGACCTAAATTTCTGCGCGGTGGCTGGAAACAGGGAGCAGAGCTGGGCGGGCAGGCGTCTGGTGCCATCCGCGATCCGGGAGGCCGGGCAGGCGAACTTGAATGGAGAGGCTGAGTTAGAGGGGTGGGGGCGCTTCCTCCCCTCCGCAGGGTACAGAGACACCGCCAGCTACCCGGCTTCCCCCTCCCCCGATCACCCGCCCCCTGCTGCCCATGTGATCCAGAGAAGTCGGGGTACGCTTCCCTTCGCCCCGCGCTGGTCGACCCGGAGACTGGGCCCCCAGTGCCTTGGGGTATGCGCGCCGCCCCCGTCGGTCCGGCCGCCGGGGGCCCAGTGTGCGCGCGCGGGCAGGCGGGGGCCGCACCGGGGTGCGTGACGTCACCTGCATTGGTTACACGACGTTCTAGAACTCCGCCCCACGTGCGCCGGAGAGGAGGGGGAGGAGGAGGAGGAGATGGGGGTGGGGAGGAGGAGGGGGAGAGGTGGGGATGGGCCGGGGGGGCGGGGACGGGGGGGTGTGCGAGGCAGCCGGGCTGAGCTAAGCCGAGCCCACGTGTGACGGCTCTCGCCGCTGCCCCGGCTCCGACGCTCGCAGAGAGATTCGGAGGAGCCCGGGCGGGGGGGAGGAGGAGGGGGAGGAGGGAGCGGGAGATCT